GAGCCGAGCAGGTGGCCAGCTTGCCAACCAGCTGCCTGACCTGGCATCAGCGCTTGTCCTGCACCATCAGTGCTTGGAGCTGCTCCGTAGGCCGGCTTGCATGGAGGCTCCAGCAGACTGGCTTGCCTGGCCTCACAGATGACTTCCCAGCCACACACCAGCAGGAAACCAATAGAAGCGAGTGGCCAGGGTAGGCAGCCCAGGAGGCAGAGCAGGTGGCCCTGACACAGCAGGATTGGGCCAGTCACATCTGGGCGTTGTTCTGGGGGCTGTCAAAGCCAGAGGAGGGAACAGAGGTGTGAGTGTGCTCAGGGGAGAGTCGGGGCACGGGTGCAGGGGCAGGGGTGCAGGCTCTGCAGAGCCCCAGGATTGCTGTCTGTACATGGACAAGGGCCTGCAAGGCCACAGCCAATCCCCGAGCCAGATGTCCTGCAGTGTGGAGAGACAGGTGGCTCACCGGGGAGGGGAGAAGGCTCTGGGTGACAAGTTCCCCTGCCTGAGGATAAGGAGGTGGGGTAAGAGGAGTGGAGAAGGCAAGTCCTGAAAGGGAAGGGAGGGGCCCCAGGGGTATACCCAAGCCTTGTCACCAATGTCGAGTGACCCAGGACATGCCCTGACTCCTCTCTGGGCCTCAGTTTCCTTAACAGTGTGACGAAGATAACTGCTACTTGTCCTGCCTTACCCATAGGAATCTAGTGAGTAGACCTAGCAACACGCCGGGTGACGCTATGACAGGCTTGTAAATGGGCCAGGCTGTGCTGAGCCGCTCTGCTCCTGGGCCTCACTGAATGCCAGCTGGTGACCACACCATGTCTCTGCGACAGGCTTTAGTGGAGGCAGATGAGCTGGGAAGGGACGTGTACAGCAGCAGTGACCTTGAAACTGCAGTTTCATGCCGCTTATCAAGAAACATTGAAAAAAAGAAAGAAAAATTGTAAGACTGAAATGGGGAGAAAAATCACTTGATGTCCTTCTAGAGACCCCTGTTGGGGATCTACTCTTTTTTATTGTTTTATGAATTGTAAAACACTGATAACAATGCAAATAATATCTGTCCATAGAAATGAAAATGACTTTTGTCCATTGGCGGTCCAATTGATTTACTGCTTTGTGGATAGTGATTATTTTTGTACCTAGTACTACACTTTGTTTTTCTTTTTTTGGAGAGATTTTTGCTATAGGGCATGTGTGCTCACCAGAAAGACAGAGACAGGGAGACAAAAAGTGGAAAATCACCCACCCCCCCCCCAGGGAAGATGACCACGCTGCAATCCCTTCTCCTCCATTCTCCTCTTGGGATCCTGGGCACGCACGCACACGTGCCCAGCCAGTTTAAGCCACTGGATCCAGGACTTGAACTGTGGTCGACTACATGGGAGTCCAGTGACATAGCCATTACGCCAACTGCTGGCCCCAAGTTCTATATTCTTGATTGCCTATATGTAATTTCTGTGAATTCTCCTTTGAATCAGTTTTCATTTAACTCATTTACTAATGAAGAAATCTATCAGTTGTAAAAGCTGATAAATTTCTTCATTAATAAATGAGTTAAATGAAAAAATAATAATATTAATAATCACACTATAACACACATTGGCGCAGTGCAAAGCCATGAATCCCTAACGGCCACTTACGAAGGAGAGGAAGGGAACAAAGAAATGTGGCACTACCTGAAGCTTCTATCAAACTACCATCCCACTTATAAATGTGTCATCCAAGGGGAAGATCGGAGCTCTTTTCCTGCTTTGCTAGGAGGAACCGTATTTCACGGAAGCCGAGTAAGTCCGTACTCCACAGCCTACTTCGACTGCACTGTAGAAGGAGAGGTGGAGTGAGGGGAATGTCGTTTCTCAAACCATAATTGTAGTGGGCTAACAATGGCCCCAAAGATATCGGGCCTTAATCGCTGCCAGAGGTTAACCGCTGACAGTGGGGCAACCAAACGTACTATTTCTTCTGCTAAAATGAAACAGGAAATGTGCACCACAACGATGAATTCTAGTTACAACGTGGACTGTGACTCCACCAAAACTGAAGTTACCGCTTCTTTAGCTGTATGAAGTAGGCAGGAAATAGAACCGCAAGCTCAGAACACCCAGAGAAATCCAGAAAGTGAGACATTCTGTTGAGGCACCTGGCTCTGAGGATGTACCAGGACTGCTCAACGAAAGGAGAGTGAAGTATAGGCAGCTTCGGAGCCTGTATTTGCATGCTCCCTTCCCAGGCCCCAACGCCAGATTCGCACAGTCATGTGTCCTGTCTGTGTCGCGGATGTGAAGTATTTTAACCTTCATCACCTTTCTGTCACTTTCCTCTCTGGTTTCCAGACGTGTATCCCCTTATGTTTAATGACATTAACGAAGTCAAAGGCACTTTTAGAATCTGCTTCAGAGAGCACTGGTTAAACTGAATGGATTTAGTGGATTGGGTTTAGCAGAATATTTGTATGAAGGGACTTCAAAATTGTGTGGACAGGGGCTAGCAGGTGGTATGGTGGTTAAGGCACTAGACTCCCACATGGCCAACTGTGGTTTGAGCCCTGGGCCTGGTGGCTTGAAAATCACACCAGGTACTTGTGTGTGCCTGCCTAGAATCCCAAGGGGATAAGAGAGGAGGAGGGATTGTGGCATGGCCATCCTCCCTGGGAGATGATCTCTTATTTTCCCTCTCTCTGTCTCTCTCCGGTGAGCACAGGTGAGCACAGGCAAAAACAAGCCAAAACAAAAAAATTGTATGGACAAGTGGAGTTTACTGTCAGGCAGGTGGTGTGGTGGTTAAGGCACTGAACTCCCACGTAGCCAATTGCAGTTCGAATCATGGATCTGGTGGCTTGATTTCTCACTTTGACCAAACTTTTAAAAATAATAACAATAAATTAAGTAACTCTTTAAAAGAAGTAAGTAAGCATTCACTGGGCCTGTTGGGTGGCGAGGTAGTTAGAGCAGCTGAATTCCACAGCCCGCTGCATATTTCAAATCCTGAACTCAGTGGGTGGCTTGAGAAACAGACCAGACGTGTGTGTGTGCCCAGAATCCGGAGAGGAGAATAGAGAAGGGACTGTGGCATGGTCATCCTCCCTGGGGAGTTCTCTCTCACTCTCTCGCTTTCTCTCTCTCTATGTCTCTGGCAAGCACACATTCTCTATAGCAAGTAATAATGATTTTTTTAAAAAAGCATGAGTTTACTTGAGTGCAAAAAGAATATGGAAATCCATGCATAGATTTTTCACAGTACCCATTTTTCATGAACTTTCAGAAGAACCCTAGTGAACATTACTGGTGTGTCATGACTTCCGCGTGTAGCTCGGTTTTCACTAGCTGTTCCACAGTAAAAATAGCTTCCAGAAACACTCCTCCCACCCATTTTCTTAGCTTACTCAGCATTGTGACATACAGGTGCAGGGCCGAAGTTCAAACGCCAGCAGAGCTGGTTGTGCAGCTCCAGCACTTTCCTATGTGGAGCGGGGAGCAAGGAGGTCTGGCACGCCGAGAGCCAGGAGCCGTCATTACAGCCTGGGAAATTACTTTAATCACCGGACATGTAAGACTGTGAGAGGCGTCTCGATACCTAATCAGAACAGACTGTTTCCTGTCGGGGATATAATGAGGCGGCAAATGCAGGTTTTGCTGGGAATCGCATGCAGTGGGATTTATTAGGACGCCTATTTGTAATGCACAGTCTTGTAGCCGTTTAGTGGACAGGAATGCTTCTGCATGTGAAGATAGATGTTCTGTGCCCCTCAGCTCGCAATAAGTAATAAGCCATATTAGAGAAACGCTGCAATTATGTTGCTAATACCCCTAGTGAAAATATGACCAAGTTATGATCATAAAAAGAGGCGATGAAAGAGTGCTGACAAAGAGTGAAGGAAAAAAAGTAATGACTGAATTAGAGGAAGCGCTGCATTAATAACAGAATTCTGGTCATTTTCTAGATGTTGTGCTGTTCAGTTGTTTAGTCTGTAATGTTATTGAAATTTATTTTCTTATCATAATTTATTTATTTATTTATTTTGCTATAAGGTACACGTGCTCACCAGAGAGAGAGCAAGAAAGAAAGTGAGAAATCATCCCCTAGGAGGATGGCCACATTGCAATCTCCATTCTTCTCTCAGGATTTTGGGCACACTCAAAAATGTGCCCAGTGTGATTTTCAGGCCATCAGGCCCAGTATCCAAACCATGCAATCAGCCATGAGGGATCCAGCTGCCTTAACCTCCACGCCACCTGTTGGCCCTGTAAATATTTTTAACATAACTCTGTATTCATAGTGCAGTATGCTCTCTCCCAAGAGGCCTGGAGACAGTACATTCGTACTATTCTGTTCTTGCAGAGGCTGTGTTCCGGTGCGTCACCACCAGATGCCGTGCATGACCTTTGATGAGGCAGACCAAGACTAAAGGAAATTGGGGGTAAATGAAGACACAGGCCCTCTGGGTAACTCAAGGGAGGAGGAGGATGCACAAACTGGAACAGTGCGGATGACAAGATTGTGGTTTTACCTGCCTAGGGACACAGGGACTGAACAGGTGCTGAGGGGATAAAGGACAGGCCCTTGCGAGCTACCACGTAGAATGTGAGAGTGGTTCGAGGTCAGCCTCTGCCCACTGAGAAACCTGAGCAGCACATAAGGCAAGCCAAAGTCAGGCCCATGCTCCACCAAGGAGCCTGAGGTGGCCATGGGAGGGGCCATGGGAAGGGATAGTGGGAGCGCCACCTTCCAGTGACAGCTGTGGCTCTTCCCTGAGCCTGCAGCGTCACTGTCACCATGTGCTTTATGAGTACTGTACACAGTAAGCCTTGTTTTCTAGGTGTTTCCTAGCTCTCTGGACGCACATGCGCGAGGGCTGTCGCAGGAGGGGAGGACTCCTCAGCCCAGCGAGTCCATCTACCACCTTCTGCAGAGTTTCAGTTTTCTTCATCCCAGGAGTAAACATGATGAAAGACCATGGCAGAACAACCCCAGGCACTTTCAGCTTAAAAAACTGGAAGCAGAGGCTGTTTCAGAAATGAAAGATAATGAGATTTATTTGCGATTGTAAACCAACTTAACAAACAATGAATAAGAAAAATTAATAACTGACTAATATAAACCACCTGCTGACAGAAGCAATTTACTAATACAATCTCCTATTCTTTCAGCTTGCTTCATCTTACTCTGGTAGATCTGATTGTCTAGTTTCTTCTTCTTCAAAACTAACAGCTCCTAAGAAAAAGAAAACATGAGTGGGTTTCATATTAATTTCATTCTGCTTTTAATGTTTTTATGCATTGATAGATCTGCAGCAAGAAAAAAAAATACCGCAACTATTAAGCATTTATCAGGTAAAAATAGAATGTTAAACTTCAGTGATACAAACTTTACAGCTTTTCTTTTGGCACCAGTAATGAAACAAGGAAAAGACATATTTAAGGGGCCAGCAGGTGGTGTGGTGGTTAAGGTGCTACATTCCCTTAGAGCCAACTATGGTTCAAGTCCTAGACCTGGCAGCTTGAAAATCATACTGGGTGCATGTGTGTGTCTGTGCCCAAAATCCCAAGAGGAGCATAGAGAACAAGAGATTGCAGCATGACCAACCCCCTGGGGGGGGGGTTCTCATGTTCCTTCTCTTGCTCGCTCTCTCTCGTTCTCTCTCTCTTTCTCCAGTAAGCACACATACCCTATAGCAAAAACAAAGACATACTCAAAATAAATGCTAAGAGAAGAATATCATTTAATATTAATAATTACATGATGCCTGCAAAAACTGTCTAGAAAAACCTGCTTTATAAACAAAACATGTCATTGCATGGCCCTTCCATGAATGACATGAAAAGCAGGAATTGTCTAACTGTCTATAAATGCTATATTTAAATGTTTGTATCATTTGGAATTATTTTTAATCCTTAAGTAAATTCTATAACTCTACGTTGAAGAGAAAATTAGTACAGTGAATCTCAGATGCCACATGGGAAGCTTGGTAAACAGATCTTGAACTTTTATTATTTTGATAAAATGTCGTACCTACTAAGCCTACATTTTTTTAAAAGAATTATTTATATTTATTTTAATTTGACCAGAGAGGAACAGAGTGAGAGAGAGGGAAAGTGAGAAAGCAAGTCGCCAAGTCCAGGACTCAAAACGCCATTAGCCATGTGGGAGTCCAATGCCCTTAACTACCATGCCACCTGCAGGCCCCAAGCCTACTTTTATTTTTAAGAGAAATTTTTGCCATAAGGCGCATGAGTTCACCAGAAAGACAGAGAGAGACAGAGAGACAGAAAGCGAGAAATCACCCCTCCAGGGGGGATGGCCATGCTACGATGCCTTCTCCATTCTCCACTTGGGATTTGGGGCATGCACACATAAGTACCCAATGTGAGTTTTTTTAAGCCATCAGGTCTGAGACTGGAACTGTAGTCAACTCTGGGCGAGTCCAGCGACGTAAGACGTAACCATTATGCCATCTGCTGGTCCTAAGCTTATTTTTTTTCAGTTCACGTTTCTTTTTTATTTATTTATTTATTTATTTTTTAAGGAGTGGGGTTTTTTGTTTTTTGTTGTTGTGTTTTTTGTTTGTTTGTTTTTTGCTATAGGGTGCATGTGCTTGCAAGAAAGACAGAGAGAGAGAGAGAGACAGAGAGACAGAGAGACAGAAAGCGAGAAATCACCCCCCAGGGGGGATGGCCACGCCACAATCCCTTCTCCTCCATTATCCTCTCGGATCTTGGGCATGCACGCACATGCGCCCGGTGTGAGTTTAAGCTACTGGGTCCGGGACTCACACCACGGTCGACTACATGGGAGTCCAGCGACATAGCCATTATGCTAAGTGCTGGTCCCTTATTCAGTCCACTTTTCACTAAGGCACTATGACATTGAACTGGAGATTACTTTGCTCTGGTGCACAACAGCACGTTTAGCAGTATCCCTGGCCTCCACCCAGGAAGACGCCTGTAGCACCACCTTCATCCTCTCCTCCACCCCCATCTTCAACATCGCCGAATGTCCCCTTGGGACCAAATGCACTGAGTCAAGGTGATGGTCCTTTAGTGTAAAGCTGTTTCATGAATCTGCCAGCTCAGATGTAGCAAGGCATGGACATCATTGACTTGGTCCAAACTCTCCCAGGCCAGTCCTAGGGAGGGTCTTCATTCCCATTTCTGTCCCCCTCTTTTCTCTCCCTCACCATAGTTTCTGGGCAGAGTCTCACCTCCTCAAGCATCCTGCTTCCTGCCTCCTGCCTTGCCAGGCCCAGGTGCCTTGGGGGACTCATCCTTTACTGGCCCCAGAGGAGCTTAGGGCAAACCTGGTGCAGGCCCCTTACAGGTCCTGCTGTGGCCACATCCCACAGTGCTCGGGATCAAGCCATGCCACCATGTGATGTCAAGATGCATTATCACAGTATTTAGGGTAGTTATGGCTAATGAAAGTCTATGTGTTTAAAGCATTTAGAAAGAAAACAGTGATGTGATTAATTATTTCAGATAATAGATAATTATTTCAGATTTCAGATAATTCAAAGGAATGGAAAACACATTGATTCTTAATGTACAACAGAGACGAACTACATCGGGTCTCCAGACCCAGAGCCTGCAATCCAGAGCCAGGTACCTTCAGCATCCAGGCTGTTCCCAGACAGCCTGGCCCTTACAACCAAGATCTGCATTACAGCAGATGAAGTTAAATTAAGAGAGGAGACTTCTCTCTGAGCTTTCTGATGGCACACATGAATGCTTGAGGAAAGATTGTTTAAATTCCTGGAACCTGAAGCTTCAGTCAGACTTAGGGCAAAGTCCTGCCCTATGACCTGGCGGAGGTAGAAGCTTCTAGATTCACTGTACATCCAAGCCCATTCTAAAAGAGCTAGTTCCAGCACCATTCACTCTTACCCCTACTCTTGTGACTCTGTTGTGGTAACAGCTATGTAACAAGACAAAGGCACATTCTACATTTTGAGGGGGGCCCTCCAATTCTTGCTGGTCCCCTGTGACAGTGAGTGTGAGAACCATCCCACACCCCGGGCATTCCTACAGGTCAGGTCTGCAGGGGCAACTCAGGGAGAGAAACAGTCCTACTGGATTCTATGTCACCTCACAGCAGCTCTCTGGAAACCCTCCCTGAGTCCCTGGGGACCCAAGGATGGCAGTGATGGAAGAAGAGAGGCCCCTGCTGCTCCTCGCAGTGTGCGAACTCTGACTGGCTCACTCTCATTCCCCTGCTGTGCAGGGAGCATATTCTCACCCTGGTCCATGTCATAGCGGAACTCGTCTCGGCCCTCCTCCCGGTTTTCCTCCCTGAGTATGTCCGCGTCTTCATCTCCAGGCCGCGTCATCTCCATCTCTCCCTCAGAAGCCTCTAGCAGCCCCTGGGTGTCCTCCCCAGAATCTCCTATGCCTGAAATACAACAAAGGAAGAGAAGACTGAGGACAGCGGAGTGAAGGAGACGGCAGAGCCGTGCAGTGGGCAGCGGTCCCAGGGGGTCCAGCACCCCTAACCCTGGGCAGCAGTGCCTCGTTTCTCCTTCAGGGCACCTCTGTCAGTCGAACCAGCTCCAGCCCTGACCTGAGAGCATCCATGCCCTGTTACAGCAAAGGGCTCCAGGATGGCCGTAGTTAGTCTGACCACTCGAACTCTCTAGGGTTTAAATGAGACTATCTCTCTGCAAGGGATCTTGAGCTGATTGGGTCATGATGTGATGACATTGATGGGCATTAGTTTCCACAGGGAAGACACTGCTGCCAGCAGAGCCAGCACAGATGAGAGCAGAGACCCGATGGGCCTGTGTCCATCCCTGAGCTTTCCCGCCGTAGGGCCCATGGAATCACGAGTAGCATCGGTAATATTTCACTTGGGCCTTCTGGGCTGGCTTTCAGCCACCTGCAATAGACGAACTCTCAGCCAGTGTGACTTCCTCCAACTCCTCAAAGAGAGAAGACGTGGGGTGTGTGTGTGTGTGGGGGGGTGTTCTGGATCCTTCTCCAAGGAAGAGCTTATCATACCAGCTGCAATCAGTGCCTGGCCCAAGGTCACACTCATGCAGTCAGTGACCAGGGTGAGGGGACGCAAAAGATGAGTTAGCCCCAGACATTGCTCCTCCCCCGTCCAGTCTCTCCCATCCTCTTCCCTCTCTCCCGAGGAGTCTCTGATCCTGACCTTCTCCCTAATGACACCCTGTTCATGAACCTGCCCAGTGGTGTATTTCTCAGAGAGCCTGGCCCATACCAGGCCTAAGAACAGGATGTCTACACTCGCATGCCCCAGAGGTACTCCGCACCCTCTGCTCCTGGGACCTCCTCCTGGCCGGGTTCCTCTGTGGGTGGCACCTCCTCTGGGAGGGTGGGTGTCCACAGGGCCAATTCCGTGATTTTGGTAGCTTTCCATTTGGGAATGACAGTTACCATTGTCTCCTCCTCCTCTTCCTCCTCTCCTCTTTCCTGTTTTAAATGCAAAAATATAAATTTACCAACATTTGTGTAATCTTGGCCTGGAATATTAAAAATGAAAGGCAAAATTGAGTTGGATTTGAGCCTTCGCATGACTATTCAGTGATCGGGCTAACTGAATAGGGATGAAAATGGATCTTGAACGAGCTTGGATGAGAGAAAAAACTATGTGCAAGGCTAGTCCCATGTTCTTTCCAAAGGATGCTGCAAAAGTCTTCCAGACTTAGCAAACCCCAGCTGTCCACAAGAATTAAAGAATGGCCAAGACTATAGTTTTAATTGCTCAGTCACATTTTCCAACTCTAAGATTATTTACAACAACGATGAAACTAACATCTGTATAAGAAAAGGCCTAAGGGGTCAGCAGGTAGCGTGGAGGTTAAGGTAGCTGAATCCCACATGGCAGACCCCACTCTTTGATTCCCGGACCCAGTGGCTTGAAGAAAATCACTTCAGGCACATATGTATGCATGCCCAAGTCTCAAAAAGGAGAAAGGAGAGGACCAGCAGTTAGCATAATGGCTATGTCACTGGACTCCCACGTAGTCAACCATGGTTCGAGTCCCGGACCCTGTGGTTTAAACTCATGCCGGGCGTGTGTGTGTGTGCATGCCCAAGATCCCGAGAGGAGAATGGAGAAGGGATTGTGGCATGGCCATCCCCTCTGGGGGATGATTTCTTGCTTTCTATCTCTGTCTCTCTCTGTCTGTCTGGCGAGTGCATGCACCCTATAGCAAAAACTTCTCCAAAAAAAGGAGAAAGGAGAAGGGTGGTGTGGCCGTCATCCCTGAGGGGGTGATCTCTCTCTCTCTCTCTTCCTCCCTCCTCCCCAGCAAGTGCACATACCTTATAGTAAACTAAAAAAAAAAAAAGAAAGAAAGAAAGGAAGAAAAAAAGTCCCAAGAAGTTTCCTTTATAAAGGAGATACAAATATGAAACCTCTAGGGGAAAATTAAATTAAATTAAAGTAGAATGAGAGCTCATTATTTTTAATGTGGAACATTGTATAATAATATGTAATTCCAGCAAGTCAGCAGTCAACATGTTTATTTTGCCAAGCGTGGTCGGTCTGATCAACTACACTTCCGGTTTCGTAACTATCACAAAATTCGCAGGATCTGAGCAGCAGCCCTGGAGACAGGGAAGACCTCACGGTCTCGTAGGTGATGATTCCTACGCAAAGTAACAGATCTGCCTAGTGCTCCCACTGAGCCACACAGACATGATTCACGGTATTTGGTTTCTGAATTTCTGAGCTTCATCCCCGACAAGGCTGACACCAGTGCCCCAGAACAGTGGTGCTCAAACCTGAGCTGCATCAGAACCACCCAGAAGCTTGTTAGAGTCCAGACGAATGGCTCCGCCCCAGCGTTTCCGATTCAGGGGGCCACTAAGATACCATCTAACCGAATTCCGGACAACTCCGGCCGAGATGCATGTGCAGGGGCCGCACTCAGAAGCCTGGCTGAGCCTGTATGTGTGCTGCTGCAGTTGGTCCCCAGGTCGCCACCTGGCAGGGCGCTCCTCCCTGCGCCTGACTGAGTCCCTCCCAAGGAGCCACGCCCTCCAAGCGCAGTTGCAGAGCCCAAGTTTCACAGCTGCCCAAAGGCAGTGGTAGCCCACAGCCTGGTCCTTGCCTCTGTGCAGGACACTCTGAAGGACCATCCAGTTTCAGACCTGTCCATGAGGTCATGCCAAGGTCAGCCCCTGCTTCTGAACAATCCTACTTCCCTCACTCCTTCCCAGCCATCACCCCACCGCACTTCCCAACCGCGCTGGCAGCACATCTCAGGCTTGGGGAGCCTGCTCGGTGTTCAGGGCTGCTGACTGTGTTCCTTCTAAACAGACATGATGGAGTCTCAACAGCAGCTACCTCAGAAAGGGCTGTTCCTTGGAAACAGAGTCTTCACAGAAAATTTAGTCAAAATGAGGTCATTAGATAGGACTCGAGCCAATACGACTAATGTCCTTATAAAAAAAGGACACTGACATTCACAAAAAGACAGAGGTGTGAAGAGACAGGAGAAGACAGGTTTTTTGGAGGTTTTGGGGGTTTTTTGTTGTTTTTTGTTGTTGTTGTTGTTGAGACAGGGGAAGACAGGTTTTTTTGGAGGTTTTGGGTTTTTTTTGTTGATTTTTTTTGTTGTTGTTGTTGTTGTTTTTGCTGTAGGGCACGTGCACTCACCAGAGAGACAGAAAGTGAGAAATCACCTCCCAGGGGGATGGCCATGCCGCAATCCCTTCTCCTCTATTCTCCTCTCAGAATCTTGAGCACGCACTCACATACACCCGGCATGAGTTTAAGCCACTGGGTCCAGGACTCAAACTGCGGTCGACTACATGGTAGTCCAGCAACATAGCCATTATGCTAACTGCTGGTCCCAAGAAGACAGCATCTTAAGCCCAGGAGGGGCCTGGCACAGCCTCAGCCCTCCCAGGTCTCGAAGGAGCAGATCTGTCTGTAAATATCAGCTACAATTTAATAAAAAAGAAGACAAAACCAGCAATGGGCCAGGTTTGGTGGGGATTGCAGTCTGCCAAGCCCTGCTCTATTGCAGAAAGAACAGTTGGGCTTCTCTGTGTCATCCAGAGTCCAGAGCCCTGAGGGTGACCTCAGACACAGGACTTCAGATGTGCACATTTTCTAAGAGGTGGTTTTTCCTGCCACAACAGTGACGGGGCCTGTACAAATACCTCCCCCTTAGATGTGATTGATGATCTTTCTGCTCTCTTCTCATCATCCAGAATACTGACTTCTATTAACTTTGGTCAGGGAGATCAAAATGCAAAACAGTTCATAAGACATGATTTAGTTCTTACTACTATGCAAATTTAAAAGGCTGTTCAAAACCACCAAGACAATAAAGGCTCAATTTATTCCTAGTGTGGCAATAAAACCGACTTCATGGGGCGGCTCTTTCAGGAGACAGGTGAGAGGCGTCCAGCCCACAGAGAGCCCAATGAAGCGTCAGGTTTGTCACTGTCACAATGAAACAATGAAACCATGTCTTTCTGAAGTTCTGATTATGTGCATGAGTGGTTACAGACTCAGCATAAATGCATTTTGTGGTAGGAGCACACGGGAGGGTGATAACATCAAATTCCTCCATACTTCTGTTGGCTGCAGTTGCCTATGGAAACCACCTTAAGCTCAGACTGGAGCACCCTAAGATCCATGTAGAAATGATGATCGGGAGTGTAAAGCTTCATTTTAGCAGCAAAATCAAGCTTTTTGGCCCTTTGATTTTATAGTTGGTAGGAACCCAACCCTAGCCCATGGCTTGTTTCAGCTATAGCAAAGGGCTCTGGAGCAAAGCAGGAGGAGAGGATACTAAAAAGGCAGATTATTGCATAATCACAGGAGCAAAAGCAGCGAAGAAGGTGCACGTCTACTCCATCGACCATGGGCAACCCTGGACTGTCTGTTAACTTTCCACCTGCCACGCCAGGAGGGAAGCCAGGGCAGTTCCGGGCATGCCCAGTTCTGGCCACCAGGGGGCAGCAATGCAGGGTCTCGGAGTCCATTGGCTGTGGCAGGTGAAAGGGAAGAGGCACAGACTCCTCTCAGTGTCAGGATCTGAGGGACTCTAGGGGAGAAAGTCAGGATTAAAATGTCTGAGGAGCACTGAATGGAAAAACTGGTAATGAGGTCAGCCTCTGCCTTCAAGGCTGAGCCAACGGGATGAAGCATTAAGTGGAAATGACGGCCAAGAAGTAGCCACCACGCAGGCGCTGCGTGAGGCCCTTCAGAATCTCACTCAGGCAGTCTTCTGACGTCTCCACAGAGTGGCTTCTACCTCTTGTGACCAAGTGTGATTTTCCCAGTCCCACAGTTGACTTTGACCCAAAGGGGACAGAAAAGAATCACTTTGGTCAGTTTGAACCAGTCCTTCTGGGTAATGCCAGAGGATTGACAAGAGAGAAAGCACCAAAAAATAAATAAACAAGAGATTACTTGGACCGGCTCTGTGATAAGAGAGCCAGATCTTGTGGTCAACCAAGGTTTGAATACCAGATCCAGCAGCATGCCTGGCATGTGTGCTGAAAATGTCAATAGGATGGAGAAGGGCTTGCAGGGTGACTACACCCACTGAGGAATGCTCGCTCTCGCTCTCTCTCCCTCCCTCCCTCCCTCCCTCCCTCCATCTCCCTCCTGCTCTCCTTCCCCCTCCCTCCTTCTCTCTCTCTCTTTTTCTCTCTCTCTTATGCACACCCCTCTGGTAACTAGAAAGTGAGGGAATGATGAATCTGCAAAAATAGAAAGAGTATTGATTTGGTAGTAGACCCAAACTCAGCTCTCTGCTTCCTTCAGGAAATAAAATATGCGGGGCCAGCAGATGCACAGCAGTTACATTGCTGGACTCCCACATGGCCAGGTTCGAGTCCCGAACTCGGTGGTTTAAAACACTCCAGGCACATATGCATGAGTGCCCAAGATCCCAGGAGGAAAATGGAGAAGAAGGGATTGCAGCATGGCCACCCTCCTGGGGAGGGGGGTGGTGGTTTCTCACTTTCCCTCTCACTGTCTCTGTCTCTCTCTCTAGCAAGCAAACACGCCCTAAGGCAAAAACCTCTCAAAGAAAATATGAAAACATGAGAGCATTTGTTTACGATATATTTGTAACTCTCTCAAAAAGATATCTGAGAACTTCAGAGACTAAAATAAATAAATAAAACTCAACGTGACATTTCTTTGCCAGGCTCAGACTTCTCCTTAAAGTTCAAAACTCCTCACAGTGAGAATGTTATCGGATAGATAAAAAGGTCAGAAGGATTAAAACCAGTGCTGGGTTCAGGAATTTTACTAAATTTGTAATTACCCGCAAGCATTGATTAAGCATTAGCAATGACAGAAATACAAACACAGACATCCTTCCCTATACACACACAGCTTTATCTGAATGCCTAAAACTGACCATAGGGTAACACTATTAATGTTAAAAATTGGACATTTGAGGCCAGCCTGTGGCATGGTAGTTAAGGAGGCTGGATCCCACATAGCTAGTTAGTGTGGTTCAAGTCCCAGACCCAAGGGCTTGAGAAACACGCTGGGAGTGGACATGCCCAAAATTCCAAAAGGAGAGAGAGATGGAGGAGAAGGGATTGCAGCAAACTTATGCCCCATGACGGTGGTGAGAGGGTGCTTTCTCTCTGTCTTTCACATGCACACGCACACATACACACATACACACACACACAAACCCTCTGGCCAAAAAAAAAACCATGTAATTGGAAATTCAAAAGGAGAAAATTATTTAACAATGCGGCTTTATGAAGTGCAAGTCACACGCCTGACATTGTGATAGTCACCAAATGGTTACAGTTACGGGTTTCAGTTGTCTTTGCTGGGACCTAATGCCATCCAGAACTCTCCCCCTCAGGACTGGCTGGTTCCTATTGACAAAAACTAGGTCTAGACTTCCCAATAACTGTGAAATGGTATTGATTACGTCTGGTAATCTAGTGCTATACACATGTGTATAAAGCAGGAGAATGAAGGTGCAGGTGTTCTCAAGAGTTGGCATAATGTCTAGGCAAATCAGCTCGTAGGGTGTATGACGGAGCAGCTCTTTGGCCTGTGAATGTGCAACACAAGAGACACTGCCACTTACCACATCTGTCAAGCGATATTCACCATGCTGTTCACAGCCGATGTCAAATATATACTTCCCAGGGCCAACAGGCTGTAAGTAGAGACACCAAAGGCTCTTCACTCTTAAGTGCAATACAGAAGGCTTTATAAATATTACCGCCACAAAACTCCCAAAATCATATAATGGGGTAGAATCCAATATGGATTATAGGATGCTCTTATGAACTCATGGCTAATGGAATTTCAAAGCATACATCCTGTCTTGTTTACTTTTAAGCTTAAACCATATTTTACTTCCTCTTTTTTGTTTTGTTTTGTGTTTTTTCCTATAATCAAGAGTGCATGCATATACATTCAAGACAGAAATAGGGAGAGAGAGTGTGCCACCGACTGGGTCTCATGATGCCACAAACCCGTGTCCCCAGCGGGCTAGCTCCTCAATACCTTGGGCCTGGTGCTTTTTCAGGCAGACCCAAGGATCCGAACCAGCAACAGCATGCAGCTGCCAGCCTTGCAAGACACTATGTTACCATGGACCATGGTGGCTGGGCCACTTTACTGCTTTATAAAAGTGCTGTTTTCGGGGTCACTAGATGACATGGTGGTTAAGGCATTGGATCCCATTTGGCCAACTCTGCTATTTGAGTCCCAGACCTGGCGACTTAGGAAACACTCTAGGTGTGTGTGTGTGCATGCCCTAAGTCACGAGAGTAGATCAGAGGAGAAGGGAATGCAACATGGCCATCCCCTTGGGGGATATTTCTCACTCTAAAAGGTAATAAATAAAAATTGCTGTGTTCATTACAAAGATGACAACACCCATAAGCAAACCAGCCAGAGAGAACCACTATTAATATTTTGATGTATTCTTTATAAACTTTCTAATACACACATTTTTTAAACAAAAATCTGGTAGTAATTACACACAGTAACTTGTCCTCTATTTGTATTTGGGAACATGGCACGAGCCACTTCCCACGTTCATGAACGTCCTTCCACAAACACCAGTTGTCTACTTGGTGTTTTATTTCATCTTCGGATCATGATCTGTTTTGATCATTTTCTATCACTGATACGTTGTATGCGGACATTTTCCTTGGACAAAGAATACCATAGTAAACATACTCTGAGTTAAGTGTTCATGTACATTCCTCATGTTTTCCTTATGGTAAGTTTTCAGAAGCAGAATTTCTAGGGAAAAGTCTATATGTGTTTTGGCTAGAATGAGGCTTTAATAACTTTTACTCCCACAACAGTTCTTAAGGGTCCCCATGGATGGCCTCAAATCCTTGTTTTTTTCTGGGTTCTAGCATTTTGTTCTATTTTATGTTTTTATTTCTTTTGGGGGGGATGGGGAGGGGCTACATTTGCTTACCAGAGAGAGCCAAAAAGAGTCAGAGAGGGAAAAAGAGAAATCATACCCAAGGGGGGATGGTCACACCATTCCTCTCTCAGGGTTTTGGGCACACACACTCACAAGTGCCCGGCATGATTTTCAAGCCACCAGGTTCAGAATTTGAACCACAATCAACCGTATAGAAGTCCAGTTCCTTAACCACCATGCCACCTGCTGACTCATATTTTTATATCTTAAAGAAAATAGAATCTCACCAATTAAATTCACATCTTTGAAGTTATTAGTAGCTTCAAGATTTTAGGCCATTCACATCACATCGATTGATAGTGAGTGCATTAGGGCCAGCCAACCGCCTACTGGTTAAGGGGTTAGACCCACATGGCTAACCACAGTTTAAGTCCCAGCCCCAGTGACTTGAAAACGAGCTGTGCGTATGCGCCTGCATGCCCCAAATCCCCACAGATTGCGGAGATGGAGAAGAGATTGCAATGTGACCACAGTTCACTGGAGAACGCTTGTTCCCTCTCTTTCTCTCTGTCTCTCAGTCTCTGGTGAGTACAAGTGCCCTCTGACAATTAAAAAAATAAATAAGAAAACAAGAGCTCCAAGTGCTTTATATATTTAATGCTGCACATATCCCGTCCACATTTGTCATTCATCTCGGAAACTTTCTATCGTGTTTCGAAACTGGATGGCCTTGCTCACATGAAGATCTGTCGGTTTTTCCTTTATGTTTCTGTTTTATAAAGTCCTTGGGTCCAGCAATTGACATAATGGCTATGTCGCTGGACTCCCATGTAGTCGACCGCAGTTCGCGTCCTAGACCCAGTGGCTTAAAACTCAACGCTGGGTGTGTGTGCGTGCATGTCCAAGATCCCGAGAGGAGAATGGAGGAGAAGGGATTATGGTGTGGTCATCCCCCCAGGGGGTGATTTCTCACTTTCTGTCTCTCTGTCTCTCTCTGTCTGGAGAACGCACATGCCCTATAGCAAAAACCTCTTCAAAAAAAAAAAATCCTATTTCCTCATTTCAAAGTTAGCAAGTATCCATCTGTGGTATTTTTCTTTTTTTCCTATGTGACTTTCTCTGTTACATTTAAATATTTCCTCTAGAGAGAGCCTGCATCTATATGCTGAGGGATAAGCTCTGGTTTTATTTTTCTCCCAAATGGTTGCTGAGCTGCCTCAGCAGCATTTCCCACCTCCTCCTCATCAGGGCCTCATTAATTTAAACAACATCCTCACCACGTGTTACATGACTGCACCTACTCAGGTGTGTCTCCGCACTTTCTGGTCATCCTCAGTGAAGGGTGCACCCCTCTCCCGGTATCACACTGTTGTAACTACTGAAGCTTTATATTGGGCCATCGGCAAAGTCATGGCATGCTCTTCGATGCTTTTCTATGCAAAAATGAGTCATGGCTTTTCCGATGACCCAATAGCATGTTTTGGTAACTTGTCAACAAGGATGTGAACAAGTATTTTTTGAGAAAGAAACAAACCATCAATGAAAGTGTGGAAAGATGTTCAACCTCACTAGTCTTCCAGAAATACACATTAAAACAATGAGATAGCGGGCCAGTAGGTGGCGTGGGGGTTGGTATCCCATAAACCATCAATGAAAGTGTGGCAAGATGTTCAACTTCACTAGTCTTCCAGAAATACAATTAAAACAATGAGATAGCAGGCCAGTAGGTGGCGTGGGGGTTGGTATCCCACATGGCAAACTTTGCAGTTCGAGACTCAGACCCAGCAACTTGAAAATCATACCAGGCATCTGTGTGAGTGCCCAAGATCCCAAGAGGAGAACAGAGAAGGGATTGCAGTAAGGCCATTCCCCCCAGAAGGTGATTTTTCACTTTCTCTTTTTCTCTCTTTTTCTGTCTGTCTCTTTTGACAAGTGCACATACCATGTACCAGATATTAAAAAAATTTAAAACAAACCAAAAAATGAGATATTTCACCCATCAGATTTAGAAGACAAAAAATGTTAAAGACTGATAATATCCCAATTTGGTGAAAATATATGATAAAGAGACTCATTCTCTATTGGCAAGAGCATAAACTGGCACAGCTTTTTAGGACAATTAGCAGTATCAATCATGATTTAAAATGTCAGTCTTGGGACCAGCAGTTGGCATAATGGCTATATCATTGGACTCCCATGTAGCCAACCATGGTTCAAGTCCCGGACCCGATGGCTTAAACTCATGCTGGGTGCGTGTGCATGTGTGCACAAGACCCCAAGAGGAGAATGGAGGAGAAGGGATTGTGGCGTGGCCATCCCCCTTGGAGGGTGATTTCTTGCTTTCTGTCTCTCTGTCTCTCTCTGTCTTTCTGGCAAGTGCACACGCCCTATAACAAAAACCTCTCAAAAAATTAATTAATTAATTAATTTTTAAAAGTCAGTTTTTCTAGGTTGGTTCAGCAATTCTAGCAATTTCATGACCTAACCTACATAAATACTCCCAAATGTGCAAACTGATGAAAAATGCATCTTTATGTATATTTCTGTGTCTATATATACTGTGAGCCTAATAGGAAATTAAAATCCCAAAGGCCCAGCCACAGCGGCACAAATGGCAGGGCACCGCTGCACGATACTGGAGCCCTGCTAGTGTGAGACCCAGATTCCAACCTCTGTTGACCTCAGCATGCCAGATGCCCCTGTGATCCTGACGGCTGGAGGGCAGGGGGCAGGACCAAACGTGGTGAGTCCTATCAAGGGTACCTCTCGCTCGCTCTCAAAATAAACTTAAAATATATACACAAACACACACAGTTATACACACACAGGCACTCCTCACTTTAGGACGAGCTCTGTTCCTATGACTAGGTTGCTAAGTAAATTGGTCCCTAAGCGAGGTTCTTAAAGGTGATATAATGTGGTATGTCATGGCCCCACAGGGTAGATATTTTGCAATAGATACGCCACACTAGAATACTGTAAGTCTACTCATACGAAAAGCATACATTAGACAAGCACCAGAAAGTAACGAGACATGCCACAAAGCAACAGTATAATTCTTTCATAATCATTTTTGTTTATTCTGAATACTACTGTGGGTGGGTGATAAACTATACATTTATAAACGAAATGTACAGCCCTGCGTGGTTGAGAAAGTTTTCTGTAGTGAATATGAAGCAACTCTGGAAAAGGGACGGCTGTGAGGGAATTCCTGAGACACAGACTGGGGTAGGGGAGTCCCCTCTCTGGAGAGGGAGGCCGGGAAGTGAGGCGTGGCTGTGAGTCCAGGTACGCTGCGTGTGGAAGTGCATGGAGACATGACGCACGGAAACTGCATGGGAGAACACAGGTCCCAGGGACTTAGGGAAGGAGGGAGGTTGGAGGGCAGTGGGCGGGACAAGGTTCTGGTTTGTTTTCCAGGTGGAATGTACTCAGGTCTCTCTTGTATAACTTCCAAGGTTTTATTAACTAGCAGAACAAAGTTTCTATTTTTTTTTTTTGAGAGATTTTCACTGTGGGGCGCATGCGCTCACCAGACAGACAGAGAGAGACATAGAGACAGAAAGCGAGAAATCACCCCCCAGGGGGGATGGTCACGCCGCAATCCCTTCTCCTCCATTCTCCTCTCGGGATCTTGGGCACGCACGCACACGTGCCCAGCGTGAGTTTTAATCCACCGGGTCCGGGACACGAACCGCGGTCAACTACGTGGGAGTCTAGCGACATAGCCATTACGCTAACTGCTGGTTCCCCCAAAGCTTCTATTTTTGCTTTGCATTTTTTTTTTCCAGGTTGGCGGAGGCTGTTCACACTTACTGATTCTTCTAGATTAAATTTTGTCAAGTTCTCTCTCCCACCCCCATCTCAAGAGCCCTGTGGGAGTTCGGCTGAGAACTGTACTTGAGGAGGACATGCTGGACTTGTTTGTTTGTTTGCTCTCGGGCGAGTGCTCTTTCCAAGGACAGAGAGAGAGAAAGTGAGAAATCGCTCCCCAGACGGTTGGCCACACTGCAATCCCTTCTCTCATCTCTTGGGATTTTGGACACATGCACCTGGCATAATTTTCAAGCCAGGTCCAGGACTTGAACTGCAGTCAGCTATGTGAGATCCAACCACCTTAACCTCCCTGCCACCTGCTTGCCTAAATGTTAAAATGCTATTTTAACAAAGACTAGAAGTAAAATATGTGGTCAAGGGCATGAACCAGGTATAATGAAAACTGGGCTTTCACAGTCTGAAGAGCTCACTCAGGTAAGCACTGCCTACGTCAGCTTCTAACACCAAATTGCTCAGCAAACTCTCTTCAGCAGCTTCTGCTCAACCCCTGATCAAAGCTACCACGAATGCCTGCATGGTCTGAATTATTCAGGTTTTCTTTGCATCCCATCTCTTGCTCCCTACAAGAAGTGTAAGCAAAAACACAGAGACCTCTGAAGACTGGTCAAGCTCCAGACCCAGGGCCAAGCCCTTCGGGCAGCCCCAGATCCTGCCGTAGGAGCAGGAACAGGTGAGCTGACCTGCAGCACAAGGGGGTCTGGGGCCTTCCTCCACGGGGCACTGGCACCACCCCTCACAGGGGAACAAAGCCAAAGCCCGGGATTCACCAATGAGAAGGAACACAGCAAGAGGTTAAGATGCCCTCCTCCCTGCTCCCAAATGGGCTGAGAGAGAGATGTAGCTGTCCTGTTCCCCATGCTTGGAGGGAATGGGCCAGTTTCCTGAGTTCTGGGGATTATCTGTTTACATATTTGCTCAGGCTGGGGGAAGGGGTGTTGCACATTTCATCAACAGATACTGCTCCCCGTGGACTTACGTTTTTGTTCAGGAACTTGCCCTGGTACCTGTGATTCAGGTGAACGAGCTCGGCCGCGCCCTCCTGCTGGCCATTCACCCAGGTTCCGACATACTTGCTGCCCGTCTCTGCGTAGAAGTAGGTGCCCTGCCCGTGCCTGGTTAAGACAAGGCCCATTGCATTCTGTTCCAGTGAAGTGAAACTCTTCAGGCGTGCAACATGGACACCAACACTGAGGGGGCCTAGGCTGACGCAGGCTCACGAGCAATCTAGCTTCTGTATCTGTGTCAGTGAAAGGATACCTCCCGCTCAGTGTGACCAAGCAGAGGACATCCGCAGATGTGCAGAAGACAGTGGCACCCGCTGAATACAGAGAGCTTCATGAGCATCAGCTGGATGCCCCAGGCAGGAGCACAGCTGCTGGGAGCTGCGACCTTGTCCCCTAGATGACTCTCTGTGCCCTCCGTGCCCTGGGGCTCCCAGGTGATGGCCCCACGTGTTCTGCCCCAAGTCTACACCTGCTCAAGACTGTGTCCTCCAGCCCACTTGTCTCCAAGTCACAGGAACATGTGACCTGCCTTGATGGACTTTTCTCACAACTCTGTTTCAAAGTGTAAGCAATCTGAAGACATCGGCACACCTTATTACATGAACGAGTCCACAAAGCTAAAGATAGAAACCAAACCTTTGGTGAGCAAACCACTCTCCTGTGTAGGTGTCATTGTTGATGTAGTAGTACACGCCATAGCCATGTCGCTGGTCATTCGCCCACTCCCCTGAGAAGACAACACAAAAGTAAGCCTGGTGAGGATGAGGGAGTGCCGCCCCTCCTCAAACTATTCACAAGGGCAGAGATGGCTATGCTAGAAAGCCAAAAAAGCTACAGCAAGTCCCTTCTCAGACCCAGAGGGGCTCTACCAACGTCTCAGGAAAGTCTACAGAAGAGAGGGCTTTTTAAGTGCGATGGCTAAGGCCAGGCCAGACCATGGCATGGAGACACCAAGCCATCCTGGAGACCTGGAAAGGCAGGGCTGAGGCAGGGTTCAGTGAGGACAGGTAGAGAGAGGGGGGTGTATGTGGTCCGCGGTCATCTGCAAGCACTGACAAGCATCTTCACACAGGCTGGCCAGGGGCACGGTGAGGCCTCCCGTCCATGTGTGTGGGCCCCATTGCCTGTGACCCATCTAGTTTGCATGTGTTCGGCAATCCAGCAATACCGTCCAGGCTTTGGATCTTTCTCCAGCCACTTAGCAGCACTGCACTCTAATTGCCACCTAACTGCCTGGTTTCAGCACACTAGTCCTCTGCCCATGGCTCCCCAACCACATATGTGCATGCAAACGCACACACACACACACACACACGCCACATATGTGCATGCAAACGCACACACATACACACACACACACACACGCACTGAGTGCCACACCTTTGCTGACCCAGGCCTTGGCCTTGATACCAGAAAATTCATAACACTTTTCTCCAATGAGGCACACAGCAAGAGAGTGTCATCAATTCAAGGGTATTTGAGAGTAACCCCTGCACTAGAAAACTCAGTGTGCCCTTAACTATTATAGCTCACATAAAAGAGAAACCTAAAAAAGGTTTCCTGAAGTTGATAACTATCTTAAAGATGTCCCTCCATGGGCTAGCCAGGTGGCATGCTGGTTAGGGCAGCTGGATCCACATGGCTGCTGCACAGTTCTAGTCAAAGACCCAGCAGCTTGAAAATATGCCAGGCACATGTGCATGTGCCCAAAATCATGGCAGGAGAATAGAGGGGAAGAGATTGTGGTATGGCCATCATGCCAAGTGATTTCTCACTTTCCCTCTCTCAGTCCCTTTCTGCCTCTCTCTGGCAACCTAAAAATAATAATAATAAAATAATACAAAGGGTTGGGGCCAGCCTTGTAGCACAATAGTTAAGGGAGCTGAATGGCTCCTACGCAGCCAACCACAGTTCAAGTCCTGGCCCTAATGGCTTAGAAAACATACCGGCACGTGTGTGTGTGCCCCAAATTCTGACAGGACAGAGAAATAGAGACAGGATTGCAGCATGACCACTCCCCACTGGGGGATGCTTTCTTCTCTCTCTCTCTCTCTCTGGCAAGCACATGTATCCTATGACCATCTTTTAAAAAGCATGAAAGAATGCAAACAATCTATAAAAAGTTAATGGAAAATGTGTATTATGGGGCCAGCAGGTGACATGGAGGTAGGGCAGCTGGATCCCACATAGCCGACTGTGTGGTTCAAGTCCCGGGCCTGATGGCTTGAAAAATACACTGTGCACATGCATGTGCATGCCCAAATTTCCAAGAAAGGAGTGGAGGAGAAGGGATTATAGCATGGCCATCCTCCCTAGGGGCTGATTTCTCATTTTCCTCTCTCCGTCTCTCTGGCAAGTGCACATACCCTATAGGGCAAAAAATTTACTTAACTAGTCTATTATGGGAAAATTATCCACAGATTTCATTTTTTAAAATTTGCTATAAGGCACATAAGTTTGCTGGAGAAAAAGACAGAGAGAAAGCACCCTCCTGGGAGATGGCCATGCCACAGTACATTCTGCTCCATTCTCCTCTTAGGGTTTTGGGCACACATAAACATACATCCGAAGTATTTTTCAAGCTATCAGGTCTAGACTTGAACTGCACAGTCAGCCATGTGGGATCCAGTCACCTTAACCACAATGCCATTGGCTGGCCCAGGATTTCAATTTCTTTGCACCAAAATAAACTTGTACTTTAATGTAATTTTCCATGAACTTTCTGAAGTTCTCTCATACACAGTACTCTAAAAATGTTTACTATCCAAGTAATATGTGTTTGCTTGAATAGATGCCGAAGTTCATCTACAAAAGGGAATTTCTAACATATTGTTTAAATCACTCCAGAATTTATTCTGCATCTAAACTGTTCTGAGCACTTTGTAAGATAGTTAGACAAACCTTTGTATAGTAATAGTGCATGTCAAAGGGCTTGCACCCAGCTCCAAGACAAGAGGCAAACCCAGGAGTGATGGGCAGAGGACAGTGTACAAACAGCATGAAGAGCTACACTGTTGGGTCTCAAAAAGGGGATTTGGAGGACCAGCAGGTGCATGGCTGTTAAGGCACTGGACCCTTTTATATGGCTGGCCACAGTTCGAGTGATAGACCTAGTGGCTTGCTTTCTCATTTTCCCTCTCTCTGTGTTTGTGTGTCTGTGTCTCTCTCTCTGGTCAAATTGAAATAAACGAATAAATCAATTTTTAAAAGAGGGGATTTATTTTTGGCACAAAGCCTTTTATTTCTTTATTTTTTGTCCTACCTCTAGTTCTATGCTCTCTCATTATTATTGTCAATTCAAGTTTTTTTTGTACATGTTTCTTCTCAGGAGAAACTACACTGGCTGATCAGTCAATTGATTGGTATGGGGTTAGGCCTTCCTCTGGGCAAGTATAGTGTCCTTTATACAACCGTCCACAGATGACAGTCCTGATGTCATCTCCCTGGCTCCTAGGACTGAGGCTCTGGAGATTAAAGGCAATTTAAAAGGGAAAGCTCTCACAAGAGGCTCTCCTCCCATCCAAAGTTTGGATTGGTCACTGGTTTGCCGTGCAAGTCACTGATCTGGCCGCCCTGGCTCCCTACACTGCTGGGTAAGCCAAACATACATGAGAAGGAACTAGCACTTATGGGGAAACACTCTGTGTGAGACATGGGCAAGGCTCTTTGATGCATCATCGTTCAGTGTAATAACTGAAATGTGGCCTACAGAGGCAAAGCCCCAAAAGCAGAGAAATTGTGTACCTTGCCCAAGATCACCCAGCTGGCAGGTAGTGGGACTGAAATTAAAATCTTGGTTATGGCCTAGCCACGGAGCAGGTGGGAGAGTGCCGCCGATGGGGCAAAGTTTCCAGCCCAACCTAAAAAGGCTGTGAGCAGTGGTTTATGCCTGTCGTCCCAGCTAACTGGGCACCTGACGCAGGAAGAATCACTACGAGGTGAGACTGCAAAAATACCTAGCTCCCCTATTCCCTGAACCACGTGTGTTCACTCCATTTTTTAAAAAATATATAATTAATTACAGTTTGTCTGACTTCAATATCATGTTCTCTTCTCTATAAGCATCCCAACAGTCAAGTGCTCATTTCTTCTTTCAGCTGCTACCATTTGGAAGTTTCCAGAAAAGCCAACTTCAAGTCATCATATTATTTTACTTCTCCATCGTTTCATCATTGTCTTCATTTTCACCAGCTCAAAAGGGATTGAGGACCAATAGTGACTATTTTCAGGGAGCCTACATTTGGGGAGCCGCAGGTGGCAAAGAGGTTAAGGCACTGAATCCCACATGGCTGGTTGTATGGTTCAAGTCCTGGACCCAGCAGCTTGAAAATCATGCAGAATACGTGTCCATGCATGCCCAAAATTGCAAGAGGAGAAGGGATTGTGGCATGGCCAACCTCGCTGAGGGTTGATATTTCTTATTTCCTTCTGTCTCTCTCTGGTGAGTGCACATGCACTATGGCAAAAATCAAAAGAATTAATAAAAATGTAAAAACTCATGCATTTCATGTCAGAATTGTTATGAGCAGAGAAACAGTTTTCCTTTAACTTTCAGATTAAAAAGTCCTTAAACCCCTTACTCTGAGTACATTATATATACTGGGTCATCAGGAAAGTCATGATGCATTTTTGCATAGAAAATCATAGAAAACTATGCCATGACTTTCCCAATGACCTAATATGTGTGTATTAGTTCAATTGTATCAGTATCTATACTAAAATCAAAAGTGACAACAATGAGATTAGTCTCATAAGGATTTGGAAAGAATTAAATTAAGCTCTAAATTAAATTGTTTAAAGCTGATTTAAAAGGCAGATGGTACTTCTTCCAGAGAAAGACTTCTACAATTTATGGAACAAAACAAAATAAATTTCATCTCTAACAGGGATGGCATTAACGTTCTCCATCATAGTCTCAGAATACAAAAAAAAAAAAAAAACCCTCTCTACAATTCTAATATTACTAGTTCTTGTTTTTATCTTGAACAAAGTAACTATAGCTTGCACTTTAAAAATGGGTCATTGTCATTAAGAAGTGATACTGTTGGATCAGGACCACCGAAGACCCTCGGCCCAGACGTCACGCTCCTGCCCCCCCAGATCTAGCCAAGGAGCCAGGTTAGAGCAAGCTACATATTCTCTCTGTCTCTCTCCATCTCTCTCTTTCAATTTTTTTTTCAATTAAATAAAATGTTTAAACTTCTTAGCTCTCTGTCATTCCTTTTAATTCTTACCTTTCCCCTATCCCCCCCATAGGATAAGACAATCAGCAGCCATCTATATTCAAGTTCTGAGCAGCCCCTTTGGCACACTGCACTAGTGCACACATGGTTTTCATTTTTTGTCAAAAAAAATTTGGGGGAGAGATCAGCAGTTGGCGTAATGGCTATGTCGCTGGACTCCCATGTAGTCAACCACAGTTCGAGTCCCGGACCCAGTGGCTTAAACTCATGCCAGGCACGTGTGCATGTGTGCCCAAGATGCTGAGAGGGAAGTGGAGGAGAAAGGATTGTGGTATGGCCATCCCCCCTGGGGAGTGATTTCTCATTTTCTGTCTCTCTGGCAAGCGCATGCACCCTATAGCACAAACCTCTCAAAAAATTTTTTTTGTTTTTGTTTTTGTCTTGTGTTTGTCTTTATTTTGGTTTCTTTTTTTTGTTTTGTTTTCCTTTTCTTTTTACCATTCTCACTTTTCTGCTCAGCCTCGACAAAGTAAAGGTGCTCAGTAGCCAAATATCTGAATACTTTTCGGGCCAGATTAATCTTAAATTTCCATTGAATCAGCTATGCAAAGAGAAAAATTAATACTGTTTAGAGACTGCACATCACCTCTTGCATGTCTCTAAAAGCTCAGATTTGACTCCAAAAACTAGAAAAAAGCGTATAATCCAGCAGATGACCAGAAACCACCACAGAGGCACAAGAAGTATGAGAAACCAAGAAAATATCTCTCCCCTAAGGGAAAAGAATAACTCCTCATCCTCCACAGACAATACAAGGGAACTTGTGGAAATGTCAGATAAAGAATTTAAAATATCGGGACCAGCAATTGGCATAATGGCTATGTCGCTGGACTC